CCCACCGTATTCACCAGACATTGCCCCTTCCGATTATCACCTGTTCCGATCGATGGCACATGGGCTGGCTGAGTAGCACTTTCATTCATATGATGATGCCAAAAAATGGGTCGACTCTTGGATAACCTCAAAAGATGTGTCGTTTTTCCGACGTGGAATTCAAATGCTGCCAGAAAGATGAGAAAAAGTAGTGGCTAGAAAAAGATGGACACTACTTTCAGTGACATGTTTTTTACTACTTTTTTAAAATAAAGCATTACTTTTCACGAAAAATCAGCGAGAACTTATTCAAGGTCCCAATATTTAATTTACAACTAATAATCTTAATATTACTTATGTATTATAATTTTAATTATGTTAATAATTTAGTAATAATAATTAATATGGTATTTACTGCATTAGTGATATCCTTTTACTTATTCCATATTGGTTATTGGCACTGACATTGTTCATTTAATTTTTTATTTAATATTTAATTTAAGACAGAAATTATTAAGATTAGAAAGAGAAACGAAGATACATTATAAAATATGTCAGGACAAGGAAAGGTTGAGTATGCAAACTTCTCGACACGAAATAAATCTCGCGTTTCACAACCTTTGTCTCTTATGCGACATTCATAGACAAAGACGGCGGAGATTTAGAGAGAAATACCGTCCAACTGCATCACCATGTTATCCCTTCCATCATGGCCTATTCTTTTTAGCTGAACTTTTGCACCAGTTAAACCTTCTTCTTCTTCTTTCCTCTTAAAAAAAAAAGGAAGAAAGATGAACTGGTGCAAAAGTTCAGCCAAAAAGAACAGACCTACTGTCTTGCACGTATGCATGCACGCACGCACATATATCTATATAAAAGGGTAAGAAACAGAAAGTATTATTTAAAAATAGAAGTTTTATGTTTTGTTTTGCAGACTATATCCATAAAGCGACTATGTGCAGGAAAAAAGTTCGAAGTGACAGAAAATTTGATAACGTGGATTACACACAACTTACAGAAACCGATAATGATTTCTTTGATTCACAAGTGAGTAAAAAGACAATATAACGATTCATTCATTATGTATAAAGTACTATTTATTTTTATTGTTATTGTGCTTAAGAATTTATTATTTAATTTTTTTTATTATTTCATTAATCCTTTCGAGTTATATTTAAAATTATATTTTGTACAATCAAATAAAAAATATTTGTTAATTTTTAGTTTGTAAGTCCACCAATAGAAATACCATGGAAGGCTATTATATTAGCAGTTCTCCTATTCATTGGAGGCACTATCATGCTCATAATGGGAAGCTTGATTGTCAGTGGATACATTGATTCAAAAGTAAGATTTATTTTATTGTTGTAAATTATATAAAAATTATAATTATTCTTTAGGTTTATGCATCATATTTTACATAATTATTTTAAGCAAGTATGCAAATACGAGATGTTTTATCTAATATAGCATGCTCTAATAAATTTAAAAATATATTCAGTGTTGTGTATGTAATAGGTACTTTTTGAAAGATACCTAGGTATAGATATAAGTATTGTGTGAGAGAAGTGCCTAATACAGGTATAAATACATAAAAAAAAATTGCTTAGGTATAGTATAGAACACATCCCATTTGATGCTCGCAATGCTCGTGGAATTAGAGTACTTATAATAAGAGTTCGGACAACAGAGTGTGAATGAGGCAAAACCGGAAACGCATCGAACGCGAGCGTTATTAATATAATAATAAAATAATAATTTTCAAATGTGAAGTGTAAAACTGAAATTGTATGTACACTGCTGTTCATTAATCGAGTCCCTCGAGTGTAGGAGGGTGGAGAAGTGTGTACATACATGGTGCGCTCATCTACACCCAAGTGCGACTAAAGTGAAACTCGATTATTGAACAGCAGTGTACATATGACAATAGGTGCGTTCAGCAAAATGCAACCGTTTTATGAATGTCTACTGAAATAAGACCATTCCTCTAGATCTTAAAATATAATTTAATCAACGCGAAAAAAACTTCCAACAATTGCAAAGTAAATATTCTGCTGAATGCAGAGGGAGAGGCCAATAATTTTATGAATAAATTAAAGAAGGATAACAACAGAGGTAAAATACGCAAATAGGATGAAGTGAAATTTGTTTAAAAATAAATAGTATGAAAATGAATGAGCTTAAAAATAAGATTTCAGGAGTATTAACTACCTTTTTAAGAGTATATTTAATTTTTTGTTGTATAAGTACTTTATTATAGTGTATATATAATTTGCCAATTTATATCCAAAACATCAGTGACGACAGAATTGCATAATAATGCAAAGTAATAAATCAATATACAATTACGTTTTTTCTCTTCATTTTCGTCTTCCCTCTTCTTCGTTTTCATATGTCGGTGTTCGAAGAAATTAATCTGGATAAAATTAAACAAAGAAATTATGTGCATAAATACACACACACACACACACACACACACACACACACACACACACACAATCAATGAAAGGGAAATTAATAAAATAATTTATCTTGAATGCATAAATTAATTACCAAGGTATTATATTTTACGGTAATATTACAGTAAAAATCAAAATAGAAATTATGACAAATAAAAACAAGTTACACATGACAAATAAAAACAAGTTACACATGCATACATATCGAATAAAATGCAAATATTAGCGCAAATTATCATAATTAATAGTTAAATCCAATAAACATTATTGTAATTATATAATAAGCAAATATTAACACAAATTAATAATTTAAAATGATAAATAAACAAAAAATAGTTTAAAATGATAAATAAACAAAAAATTGAAAATAATGAACTCTAATAATATATATTCTTTGATTATTATGCATAACTAAGTCACTTAACATTTAGGTGCATAGCTTTACTAGCAAAATTGAATCTATAACTTTCAAACAACGTACGGCTTCCAACAAAATAAAATTTCAAAGAAATGAGCATATACCACACACTGGATTTTATCAGTGAAATAAAATATATGTTTTAAGTTATGTCATATACGCAATTTTTAATAAGATGTTTAGAGTACAATTGCAATACTAACACACTTAATACTATTTATAAACGTTTCGGCCTTTAATTAGGCCATCTTCAGTATAAATTAATATTGTTCGAGTATAAAATTATGCGCTAATACAATTATCAGTCATTATAAAAAATATATTTAAATAATACATAGGAAAAAATTTAATTTGTCAATTTTAAATATACTATTTTATCCTTAGCTTAATATAAATATTTAAATATTAAGAAGTC